TACTCCTAGTAATCTGTTTATGACTAGACATAGTATCATCTCTTGTATGTATGTCCAGCCTCATTGCACTGGCTTTTGTGTTTACTTCACAGGTCACAGAGCAAACTGGAGCCATCCTTCGCGATGCCGGCTTTGAGCTAGAAGAGCGAGGCAAGGTATTCGTCAAAGGGAAAGGAGAAATGACAACATTCTATGTCATTGGAACTGACAAAGGAAAAATTATAAAAGATCAACAATAATGATAATAATAGTAATAATGATATATTCTAATTGACTACTGAATCACATATTAAGCATATGGTTCTCTATGCTTTTCTCTCCTGAGTTTTAATCAGCTATTGCTAATAATAGTATAGTACATAATATTTGTTTATTATTGTTATTATTGTTATGTTGTTGTTGTTGTTGTTCAGATGTACATGACAAGTTAGTTTTTTCCTTTCTCTCTCTCTCTCTCTTTCTCTTTTTTGTTCTTCTCTCCCTCCCTCCCTTGTACACATTTAAAAGTTATATTCAAGAGTACCAACAATTATAATTTTTTCCTTATTTTATTGAATGCACTCTAAAGCCATAATTATGATATTTATACTTTTGTAATGTATTACTTTAAAAGTGGGATCATGTAGGATGGATTGTCCAGTGTGGTTTTTCATTCAATAGTAATTATATACTTACTGCCAGTAGTGTATATGCATGTATACAGCATGATATAACTTACTTTGCTGTAGTGATTCTGAAAGGACACTGGCTCACCTAATCGGAGTTTTAGAATATTAAGTCAAGTGTAATTACATTACTAGACTTGTTGCATTTAAATGTTTTTTAGTATCTTAATATTCAAAAACTGTCAATCGTAATTTAGGCAGTTAATTTCCTTTCTGATCAGTGAACAGATGCAATACAAGTAAAGTTCTCTCATGATGCACTAGAGACCTTGCTTAGTTTTGTTAATCATTGTTTGGATGCTACTGTGCATCATTTTGATTTAATGATTAAGATAGTCAAATCAACTGCTAGTACGTAATTACAGTCATTCCTCATTCTTGATTTAGCTGAATCAAGATCTTTAGGTGTGGAGTTAAATCATATGACCGTGTGATGACTATGATTACTATAATTAGATCATCAATTATTAATTGATGATTGATACAACTTGTGGTATAGGTCATACTTGCTCATTAGTCACTTGTCATACTGTTCACTTATAATGAGTCATTCCATGCCTAAAATAGCTAAGCCCTGCCCACAAATGTATCATTAAGTATAAAAAGAGAGATTGTACTTTCATTTATCACAGTTCCATCATGATTGCTCTAATTTCTGCCGTGATTTTTTGTTTCCTGACCTCAGCCTTGGCCCAGCAAGGTTGCTCTAGCGAAGGTCAGTTCACTGATAGTGCTGGCTCCTATGTATTCTCGTGGTCATTGCAATCAAATGGAATGTATGTTGACTGCAATGTGTCTGTGAATACAGCAGATAACAGATGGGTTGCAGTTGGATTCTCTGAAAATCGAGCCATGGTAAATTGAATATTATAATGAAGCTAATTCAATATTTTAGTTGATGTGCTATATCATGTGCATGGGTGCAATGTTTCCTGTAGCTGTAGGATCAAAGTTACTTTGTTCAACTAAACAGAAAGTATATATCAGCTATTTTTTGCTCTTCTTATTAGCCTGATACTGATGTCATTATTGGTGCTAATGATGGAACTGACGAATTTGTAGAAGACAGGTGAGGAGTAGGCTATAATGGGCTATGCTAAACATGTATGATTATATTATATTATAGGTGGAATAGTCAAAACCGGGCAGCTGGACCATCACTTGATCCTATGCAGAATATTATGAATACTTCATCAATGAGGGATGGCAATAGGCTTACCATAAGTTTTACCAGACCACTTGTCAGTCCTGATACTAGTGGTAGAGATGAAAATCTTGATGTATGCCGTAACGTCCTTTGAGCTTTTGGAGGTACAACCACTTTTGTGAATGGCAGTGTAACTGCTCTTGGGGACCATTCTAATAGAGGTATCTTTGCGGATCAGCTTTGCCTATGCACAATTGCATCAACAACAGCAACGCCAACAATGACACCAACAGCAACAACAGTGACACCATCAGCAACACCAACAGCGACATCAACAGCAACAGAGACACCAGCAGCAACAGAGATACCAGCAGCAACAGAGACACCATCAGCAACAGTGATACCATCAGCAACACCAGAAGAGACACCAGAAACTACATCTAGTGCCGCCTCAGTTATAAATGTCGCAGTTCTTACTTCTATATTTATCTTTATTGCTACAATTTTTTGAACTATTAAACTAGAATAGATAAGAGTGTAGTGTCATGTGATTATCCATGATTTTTGTTTGATTTTAACAGTTCATATTTTGCTAAATTTAATGTTTTGTTTAAAGTTTAAAATTAAGATGTGCTGCATAATGCTGAGAGCTTTGCAAAGCGTGGGCGAGACCATAGTAAATTAATAGAGTTTTAACTCTAATAATGATCTAACTAGGCGAATGTAGAACATTGAAGGGGCGAGCACAAGCTAGCATGGCAATATACAATGTTTAGATGTCACAAAGGCTAATGTTGTTGTCAAATTGTAAATGATACACATTGCAGAGCAGCTCAGAACTTGTGACTTGCATGCATGAAAGGAAATTTTATAGCTTGCTCTTCTAGCTTTATTAGCAGTGAAGAATCTCAGTTGTAACTTTAATAAGTATAATTTAATTTTTACTATAATATTTTTAAGCACAGTTAAGACTTTCTTTTCTCTGATAAGCCATTTGAAGTGCTTTATTCTGTTATTCAACCATAATTAATAAAAACTTGAAAGATTTGTGTGAGTTTTCTTAAATTTTCTCTGCTGGTGAAGTGTCTTGACAACAGATCAGTCTTATGTTGCTGCAAGTAAGATTGGCTAAGGTAGGCGCCATTTTTATTTCATTGCAGTCACAGTACCACACCCACATCAATGAAAATATTTCATTAGAATGCTACCGCATTAGATCATTGTTGATTTTTAAATAGAGAGTTGTGCACACATGGGTGTGACCAGAATAGGCGTGACTGGAGACGTACGTACATACATCATAGATATTATAGACTACGTAACCTATAATATCTTACGTAGTCTACTAGGCGAATGTAGAACATTGAAGGGGCGAGCACAAGCTAGCATGGCAATATACAATGTTTAGATGTCACAAAGGCTAATGTTGTTGTCAAATTGTAAATTGAATGATACACATGCAGAGCAGCTCAGAACTTGTGACTTGCATGCAAGGAAATTTTATAGCTTGCTCTTCTAACTTTATTAGCAGTGAAGAATCTCAGTTGTAACTTTAATAAGTATAATTTAATTTTTACTATGATATTTTCAAGCACAGTACTTTTAGACTCTCTTTTCTCTGATGAGCCATTTGAAGTGCTTTTATATTCTGTCATTCAACCATAATTAATAAAAACTTGAAGATTTATGGGTGTTTTCTTGAATTTTCTCTGCTGATGAAGTGTCTTGACAAGAGATCAGTCCTATGTTGCTGCAAGTAAGATTGGCTAAGGTAGGTGCCATTTTAATTTCATTGCAACCACACCCACATCAATGAAAATATTTCATTAGAATGCTACCGCATTAGATCATTGATTTTTAAATAGATATTGTGCACACATGGGGTGTGACCAGAATAGGCGTGACCAGAATAGGCGTGACCAGAATAGGCGTGACTGGAGACGTACGTACATACATACATACATACATACATACATACGGAGGGAGGGAGGGAGACTTCGCCTGAGTGGGGCGAGCTTATGCTCGCCCCAATAATATCTTACGTAGTCTACTAGGCGAATGTAGAACATTGAAGGGGCGAGCACAAGCTAGCATGGCAATATACAATGTTTAGATGTCACAAAGGCTAATGTTGTTGTCAAATTGTAACTTGAGTGATACACATGCAGAGCAGCTCAGAACTTGTGACTTGCATGCATGAAAGGACATTTTATAGCTTGCTCTTCTAGCTTTATTAGCAGTGAAGAATCTCAGTTGTAACTTTAATAAGTATAATTTAATTTTTACTATGATATTTTCAAGCACAGTACTTTTAGACTCTCTTTTCTCTGATGAGCCATTTGAAGTGCTTTTATATTCTGTCATTCAACCATAATTAATAAAAACTTGAAGATTTATGTGTGTTTTCTTGAATTTTCTCTGCTGATGAAGTGTCTTGACAAGAGATCAGTCCTATGTTGCTGCAAGTAAGATTGGCTAAGGTAGGTGCCATTTTAATTTCATTGCAACCACACCCACATCAATGAAAATATTTCATTAGAATGCTACCGCATTAGATCATTGATTTTTAAATAGATATTGTGCACACATGGGTGTGACCAGAATAGGCGTGACTGGAGACGTACGTACATACATACATACATACGGAGGGAGGGAGGGAGACTTCGCCTGAGTGGGGCGAGCTTATGCTCGCCCCAAATAGTTAATAACAGTTATTGCAATTACTAGGCGAATGTAGAACATTGAAGGGGCGAGCTCAAGCTAGCATGGCAATATACAATGTTTAGATGTCACAAAGGCTAATGTTGTCAAATTGTAACTTGAATGATACTGACACATGCAGAGCAGCTCAGAACTTGTGACTTGCATGCATGAAAGGAAATTTTATAGCTTGCTCTTCTAGCTTTATTAGCAGTGAAGAATCTCAGTTGTAACTTTAATAAGTATAATTTAATTTTTACTATGATATTTTCAAGCACAGTGCTTTTAGACTCTCTTTTCTCTGATGAGCCATTTGAAGTGCTTTTATATTCTGTCATTCAACCATAATTAATAAAAACTTGAAGATTTATGTGTGTTTTCTTGAATTTTCTCTGCTGATGAAGTGTCTTGACAAGAGATCAGTCCTATGTTGCTGCAAGTAAGATTGGCTAAGGTAGGTGCCATTTTAATTTCATTGCAACCACACCCACATCAATGAAAATATTTCATTAGAATGCTACCGCATTAGATCATTGATTTTTTAAATAGATATTGTGCACACATGGGGTGTGACCAGAATAGGCGTGACTGGAGACGTACGTACATACATACGGAGGGAGGGAGGGAGACTTCGCCTGAGTGGGGCTCGCTTATGCTCGCCCCAATAATTTCAATTTTTTATGAAAATCTTATAATTATGAATGCATAAATGGCAGGCTGATAACAAGGTGATGAAGAGAGACTAAATAAAGGAGGAGGTGGTAAGACTTTGGTGCCAATCACAGTGGGCCACCACAGCAACACTAGAAAGCATAGTCATTTCATTATTTAGTGCTATTTCAGTGTTCTTTTCTTGTCAGTTGCAATGTCTAAAAGCCTGGACTAGCTTCACTATGTCCTTTGTGAACAAGCCTGCTAAAAAGGAACAACAGTTTACAAAGTGAACCTAGTAAGTACAGTATAGAAGTCAATAATACAGATTATCTCATATTCTTTAGGTCAGTCTCTTGCTGAATCAGTTGATGATCATGAGTCTCAGTCTACTCTTGTGGTTGATACAGCTACAGTTTTTACAGCTACAGTTGATGTACAGTCAATTGTTGCTCATTCTCCATCACCCTATTCTTCTACTTCCTCTACTAATACTACTACTAGTACTATTACCACTACAGAAGTCAGTGTTGGAGCTACACCACCCACTACTTTATTACAATAACCTTCGCTACCAAAAAATTGCGCTAAAAAGGGTGCGCAAAAGAGGGTGTGGCCAAAATCGCGGCGCGCTTCGCGCGCCCAACCCATTTCCTGTGCCACACCCATGCCCGACTAGCAGTCAAATCCTGCAGCCGCCTATGTGAAGGGGCGAGCACAAGCTAGCATGGCAATATACAATGTTTAGATGTCACAAAGGCTAATGTTGTTGTCAAATTGTAAATTGAATGATACACATGCAGAGCACTGAGCTCAGAACTTGTGACTTGCATGCAAGGAAATTTTATAGCTTGCTCTTCTCTCTTTATTAGCAGTGAAGAATCTCAGTTGTAACTTTAATAAGTATAATTTAATTTTTACTATGATATTTTCAAGCACAGTACTTTTAGACTCTCTTTTCTCTGATGAGCCATTTGAAGTGCTTTTATATTCTGTCATTCAACCATAATTAATAAAAACTTGAAGATTTATGTGTGTTTTCTTGAATTTTCTCTGCTGATGAAGTGTCTTGACAAGAGATCAGTCCTATGTTGCTGCAAGTAAGATTGGCTAAGGTAGGTGCCATTTTAATTTCATTGCAACCACACCCACATCAATGAAAATATTTCATTAGAATGCTACCGCATTAGATCATTGATTTTTAAATAGATATTGTGCACACATGGGGTGTGACCAGAATAGGCGTGACTGGAGACGTACGTACATACATACATACGGAGGGAGGGAGGGAGACTTCGCCTGAGTGGGGCTCGCTTATGCTCGCCCCAACCAAGAGGATGCGAAACAGGAAGTAGATTGTACATGAAATTATATTGGTGACGTCACGAGCAGTATGCCTATGCTCTTTTCGCTCTAGCGTAGCCTCTAGTGACCTTGTTTCTCGAAGTTTTGGGTTATTGGTCAAGTTACTACTTTGCTGAGTTGAAGTAAGTATTATGAAGTCTCTATTAGCTCGAATGACCTGCTGAATCCTTGTTTGCTTGATCACTGGATCTCGTTGTGCTGTAAAACATGGCGGCCTATAGTTCTGACTTTAAACACCTTTTCTCCAATCTGGGGCAGAGTTAGTAAGTGTTATTTGGGTAGAAGAAGGATATTATTGTGTTACATGGTCTGTAACTACTAGCTTTCCACTGCAGTTTTATAAAATATAAATATATACCTTTTTTAGTTTGTTTATGGTCTGTTTTGTAAACACCTTTTCTGGAAAACTATGCTATTTGAAGAGGTATAATTTTGTATGAGTCTACGTACATGCCTTTTGTACGGTTTGTATATTTTCATAATTATTTTAAAGCTATGTTTCTTCAAAAAAGTTACTTAATGTCATTGTGATATACCATATTAGAATGATAAAACTATTATTATAATATTATTTTTTTGATGATCAAATAGGGTATGAATATGAAACCAATGAAGCTAAATTGTCTGTTGTTTCTTGTACTGACTCTTTTCAGAAGAAATATAGATTTTTATGAAGTTTTTTATAATTATTGATTTTGCCACCATTTTGGTTGCTAAGCGTATCTAGGAAAAACGTCACATCCGGCGAAAAGAGCATAGGCACATCCTGTTTTGTATCCACTTGGTATATATAGTATCTATGGAGGGAGGGAGGGAGACTTCGCCTGAGTGGGGCGAGCTTATGCTCGCCCCAATAATATCTATGCATACATACATACAGAGGGAGGGAGACTTCGCCTGAGTGGGGCTCGCTTATGCTCGCCCCAATTATTATTTCTCCGCCTACAAGTCCACGTGATGTAGCATGTTGTAATGTACTCTCTTCGTTCAATGTCAAGAGCCCGTACTGCTTCTAGTAGTACCAGTGAAAGACCAAAGGAGACCCAAAAGGATGAAGAGGAGGAGGAGGAAGATGATAGCCAAGTGGAAAAGACCGTTATTAGGAAAAGTGAATGGGTACTGGGTGTGTCACTAGGGCGTGCCTAGCTAGCTTGGCCTGATCAAACTAGCTGGGTTGCAATACTTAACTTAAGATGGGCATCTACTAGGCAACTATGTTGGAAATGGTCCTGGCAACTTGTAGTCCAACTTTTGATGCCGCTGTATTGTATTAATTTATATAGAGAGAGTCAGTGATCCTCCTCCTGTGAAGAGAGAGAAGCCAGAAGAGAAACACACGGGGCAAGTTAAACTATAGAAATACTGTTGTAGGCAGAATGTGTCCATGTTTATATGATACATCAACAATTATTTTTATGTTCATGCACTTATTAAATTGGATTAATTGATAGGATTAATGTACATGTACATATGTATGTGTGTGGTGTTGTACACAACTCATAAGTTAACTGAAGCTTAATGAGCTCTTGCAGACGTAAGCATGTTAACTGAGTCGACGACTGACATTCCTACGAGTTTGTATCACACCAAAGGCAACGTTCCACAAAATAAAGTGCTCCCTCATTTGATATACATGTAGGAGATTACCTATGACTCTTAGTAGTTTTCGACCAAAATAGTAACAAAGAGAACCTACCAGAAGACACTAACTACTGAAGTAGTGATTATTTATTATAAGGAAGTGGAAGTATTTATACTGGCTTATTAATTACTCTTAACATAATTAACCTCTGATTTTAGAGACACTGATACCTTCAATCCCTTAGATCTAGCTAAAAGTACAAATACTAAGTAGTGATGGATTTTAACACTAATAAATATTATTGTACCATATTTATTTTTAAAATTATATTTATTAAAAAAAATTATTAATGTTGGACAGGACAAGAATGTAACACAATTATTATTTATAACTTAATTAATTATTAATGTCATTATTTTTAGGAGCTTTATTTTGAGGAATACGATGAGATATGTGTCATGTTTGCGTCTATCCTGAGCTTTTGGGACTTTTATAGCGAATCATCAATCAACGATGATGGAAAAGAGTGCCTGAGACTGCTCAACAAAATAATATCAGATTTTGATGAAGTAAAAACATAAATAGAGATAGAGTGAGGGAGGGAGAGAAGGATAAAAAAGACAAAGGGAAAATGGGCCAAGAGGGCGTGAATTACTATTATTGTATTGATTAATTTTGTTTAGGTATTGAATAAGCCAAAGTTTAGCAGCGTTGAAAAGATAAAGACGATCGGTTCTACTTACATGGCAGCCACTGGACTCAATCAAAGGAAAGTAAGCACCTTTACCAGTACATTAAAATGCATGTACATTTAATCAAGAATACTTATGTGTACTCTTGATTACTTGATTTAATTTAGATTGCATATAAATGACTGGATTTTAACGGGGCTCCTGTATATTGTACTTACAATAATAGTTATATATTGTATATATTTAGGTTGACACTAATAATAAGACTAGTAAGAATCATCCTGTGGTTCATTTGTGTTTGTTTGCTGTTGAACTGATCAAGAAACTGGACCTCATCAACAGGCACTCTTTCAATGACTTTCAACTAAGAATAGGTGAGAGAGAGCACACACTATAGTGTATGGCCAGTTTTCTGTATACCGTAGGTCGGGATATATTCGCGGCTGCAATTATTCGCGGTCATAAAAAATTCAATTAAAAACCATGGAAACTGTTAGAGCGTTGCTATGACAATAAGACCACGTGTTTAGTGTTCAGCTATTCATCTGTTCTTTAGCAGCTATAGTGGAGCCATTCACCAATAGCGAGTCCTTCTCTATCTGTTAACTTCTTGTATGGACCGCTACCTCAGAGCTCTTTCAGCCTCTTTGCTGCAAATTGTTGCTGATTCTCGTGCTGGTGATAATAAACCACGCCCAAGTCAATGAACACTAACTAGAATGTTTGGAGAGTCCCAAAATACGGCGAGGCATTAGTTCTGAAAAGAACCGGTAAAGCAGCTCCAAAGAGCCCAAGGCTTAGTGACACAAGAAGAACAACAGCTTAAGAACACTGCAGCAAGGTGCTTTTCTTCACTATCGCGCCGTTTTCAATTATAATAACACCTTGGTTTCTATGGTTTTTAATTGAAATTTTTTTATGACCGCTAATAATTGCAGCCGCAAATATATCCCAACCTACGGTAATTACAAATCAATCACTGATTTACTGTGGGTGTCATCCATATAACATTTTGTATTAAAACTTTTTGAGTGTATATATACTCTATGTAGATATTATTGTGTCACTGCCTGTTATTGTGTACTAGTACATTGGATTGTAGTTCTCACTGTCAACAGTTGATATGATTAGGGCTGGCTATAGGTTTAATAAGCATAAGTATGTGAATCAGTGATTTATATGCTAACTAGTGTACATTGATTTAATTGAATAATCTTTTTAGTTTGACTGGTGTCACATAACTAGTTATAGGGTTTGTAATTATCATAACTAATTTCTAGTAGATTAATTCCAATGCGATTTGTGTGTATTATTACATTAGGTATTAATCATGGACCGGTTGTTGCTGGAGTGATTGGTGCTCACAAGCCACAGTATGATATATGGGGCAATACTGTGAATGTAGCTAGCAGAATCGACTCCACTGGTAAACCTGGAAGAATACAAGTAAGGAAGGAATATATGCTAGTACTAGTTTGTAAAGAGGAGAGAAAGAATCAGTGATAAAGAAAGGGAAGATAAGAGATGGAAAGATAGAAGCGTAACTTGTACTACAGTGTGTGGGTGTATCAAAGGCACCGCCACGAGTTTATATAGTGTAGATCACAGCCCTTAGTTAGAAGCCATCATCTAACTGCCAATTCTGGTAGCTAGACGACAGTGCCTATCATACACCCACACACTGTAGTACAAACCAGATAAACTACAGCTGTTTCGTGTTACTGGATATACAATCAGATGTTAGTTGATTTAGAAGCCTTGACTTCGCCTCGGCTTCTAAATCAACTAACATCCTCGGCTTCTAAATCAACTAACATCCTCGTGTATATCCAGTAACCCTCAACATCTGTCGTTTATCTATAACAAAGACGACATTTACGTAGTAGAAGAGCTACCTTATCTAATCAATATTTTGTATACTTGTAATCTTGTTATGACCAGACATGGTATCATCTCTTGTATATATGTCCAGCCTCGTAGTAGATTATTGGTTGTACTATACAATTATACATGATATTGCACTAGCTTCATGTTTACTTCACAGGTCACAGAGCAAACTGGAGCCATCCTTCGCGATGCCGGCTTTGAGCTAGAAGAGCAAGGCAAGGTATTCGTCAAAGGGAAAGGAGAAATGACAACATTCTATGTCATTGGAACTGACAAAGGAAGAATTATAAAAGATCAACAATAATGATAATAATAGTAATAATGATATATTCTAATTGACTACTGAATCACATATCAAGCATATGAGTCCTTATGCTTTTCTCTCCTGAGTTTTAATCAGCTATTGCTAATAATAGTATTAAGTACATAATATTTGTTTATTATTGTTATTATTATTATGTTGTTGTTGTTGTTCAGATGTACATGACAAGTTAGTTTTTTCCTTTCTCTCTCTCTCTTTTTTGTTCTTTTTCACTCACTCTCCCTCCCTCCCTTGTACACATTTAAAAGTTATATTCAAGAGTACCAACAATTATAATTTTTTCCTTATTTTATTGAATGCACTCTAAAGCCATAATTATGATATTTATACTTTTGTAATGTATTACTCTTAAAACTGGGATCATGTAGGATGGATTGTCCTGCATTCAATAGTGATTATAGATCTATACTTAGTGTGCATTCATGTCTGTACACAGCATGATATGACTTGCTTTGCTTGCTTTGCTGTAGTGACCTAGTCTTGCTAGCCAGACTCTAATTTACCGGTATTATTTGGTAAATTAGAGTCTGGCTAGTGAGACTAGTAGTGACCCTAAAAGGTCACTGGCTCACCTAATTGCTGTAATGTAATTATACATTGACTTAATATTCTAAAACTCTAAATTGGAGTTTTAGAAGATTAAGTCAAGTGTAATTACATTACTAGATTTGTTGCATTTAAATGTTTTTTAGTATCTTAATATTCAAAAACTGTCAATCACTATGTGGGTGGGCAGTTAATTTCCTTTCTGATCAGTAAACAGATGCAATACAAGTAAAGTTCTCTTGTGATGCACTAGAGACCTTCCTTAGTTTGTTAATCATTGTTTGGATGCTACTGTGCATCATTTTGATTTAATAATTAAGATAGTCAAATCAACTCCTAGTACGTAATTACAGTCATTCCTCATTCTTGATTTAGCTGAATCAAGATCTTGTATAGCTAAATCATGTGACTGTGTGCGTGACTGATTACTAGTGTAATTAGATCATAGCTGTGGTATAGGTCATATTGGATCATTAGTCACTTGTCATACTGTTCACTAATTTGAGTCATGCCTTGCCTAAAATAGCTAAGCCCTGCCCACGAATGTACCATTAAGTATAAAAAGAGAGATTGTACCCTTATTTATCACAGTTCCATCATGATTACTCTAATTTCTGCCGTGATTTTTTGTTTCTTGACCTCAGCCTTGGCCCAGCAAACTTGCTCTACTGAAGGTCAGTTCACTGCTGCTGCTGGCTACTATGTATTCTCGTGGTCATTGCAATCAAATGGAATGTATGTTGACTGCAATGTCTCTGTGAATACAGCAAATAACACATGGGTTGCAGTTGGATTCTCTGAAAATCAAATCATGGTAAATTAAATATTATAATGAAGCTAATTCAGTATTTTAGTTGATGTGCATGGTGCAATGTTTACTGTAGTTGTAGAATCAAAGTTACTTTGTTCAACTAAACAGAAAGTATATCAACTATTTTTTGCTTTTCTTATTAGCCTGATACTGATGTCATTATTGGTGCTAATGATGGAACTGACGAATTTGTAGATGACAGGTGAGGAGCAGCGGGCTATAATGGGCTATGCTAAATATGTATGATTATGATTATATTATAGGTGGAATGGTGCAGACCGAAGAGCTGGACCATCACTTGATCCTATGCAGAATATTATGGATACTTCAACAATTAGGGATGGCAATAGGCTTACTATTATGTTCACCAGACCACTTGTCAGTCCTGATACTAGTGGTAGAGATGAAAATCTTGATGTATGCCGTTATGTCCTTTGGGCTTTTGGAGGTACAACCACCTTTGAGAATGGTGATGTAACTGCTCTTGGGGGCCATTCTAATAGAGGTGTCTTTCCAAATCAGCTTTGCCTATGTGCAACACCAACACCAACAGAGACACCAACACCAACAGAGACACCAACATCTAGTGCTGCTTCAGTTGCAAATGTCGCAGTTCTTACTTTTATATTTATCTTTATTGCTGCAATTTTTTGAACTAACTAGAATAGATAAGTATGTAGTGTCATGTGATTATCCATGATTTTTGTTTGATTTTATTAGTTAATACTTTTGCTAAATTTAATGTTTTGTTAAAGTTAAGAACCAAGATGTGCATAATGCCATAGATATGCTAAGAGCTTTTGCAGCAAAGCATCGGCGAGACTAGATCTAATTAATTAGTATTATTTCTCCGCCTACAAGTCCACGTGATGTAACATGTTGTAATGTACTCTCTTCGTTCAATGTCAAGAGCCCGTGCTGCTCCTAGTAGTACGAGTAAAAGACCAAAGGAGACCCAAAAGGATGAAGAAGAGGAGGAGGAAGATGATAACAAAGTGGTAAAGACCGTTATTAGGAAAAGTGAGTGAGTACTGGGTGTGACATTAGGGCGTGCCTGGCTGGCCTGATCAAACTAGTTGGGTTGCAATACTCAACTTAAGCTGGGCACCTACTAGGCAACTATGTTGGAAATGGTCCTGGCAACTTGTAGTCCAATTTTTGCCGCTGTCGCAACTTGTTGGCCCAATGTTGGCAACATGGGAACTATTAGTCTCGCGTAGCCAGACCCATCCCCCTTTTTGACATTTGGACAAATGTCAAAAAGGGGGATGGGTCTGGCTACGCGAGACTAGGGAACTATATGGTACCCCACATCACATGTAGCAAGCCTAATGGATGCCCAGCTTAATATCTTGCTTGATAATGTATATAAGGGATTGCAGACATTTAGTGTATTGTATTATATAGAGAGAGTCAGTGATCCTCCTCCTGTGAAGAGAGAAAAGCCAGAAGAGAGACACACGGGGCAAGTTAAACTAAAGAAATGCTGTTGTAGGCAGAATGTGTCCATGTTTATATGATGCATCAATGATATTTTAATGTTACGTGCACTTATGAAATTAGATTAATTGATAGGATTAATGTACATGTACATATGTATGTGTGTGGTGTTGTACACAACTCATAAGTTAACTGAAGTGTAATGAGCTATAGACGTAGGCATGTAAAAGGAGTGGATGACTGACATTCCTACGAGTTTGTATCCCACCAAAAGCAACATTCCACAAAATAAAGTGCTCCCTCATTTGATATAGGAGATTACATATGACTCTTAGTAGTTTTTGACCAAAATAGAACAGGAGAGTAATAAAGAGAACCCACCAGAAGACACTAACTACTGAAGTAGTGATTATTTATTATAAGGAGGTGGAGGTATTTATGGCATCAATACTGAGAGCTGTTTGTCCTGTATAATCCCTATTATACCATGTACAATAAAATAAAAAATAGTAATAGTTTGTACCATATAGACACCCCTTGTCTCTCTTCTATCCTGTCTCTTTTGACCAGTGTCATTAGTTCAGGCCTTCAGGGGTGTCAGAATAGCTGTCAATTTGTGCTAGCATTCAAAATTCTTTGTATTTTAAGGTTTCTCATCTGATGCATCCTTTGCACTCACATTGCTAATGACTTGTTACAGAAATATCATTATTAAAGCAAGCATCAATTAGTCTCCCTTTGAGAATCAGTTGGCACTAATAGCAGTAACTATGAAAAGGATATAACAGATAATTCCTGTTGATTGATGGAATATATTAAATGAAAAATACATACACTTTATTAGGAAGCTACAGCATATGTATGTACACATACACATACATGTACCTTGCTTTATAATGATCTCACTACTAATAAACTATAGCCCTTTGAAACTCCATAAGTGTGTCTCATTCTTATCAATAGTAGTACTGTTTACTTGCATCTATTTACTATGTAGTGGTCAGATAAGGGAAGCTGGTTTGCCTTATTGGGAGCCTCTCAATTGGAGAGAGCAGTTTGAGAATATTAAGATAATGAGGTCCTCTCGTGATGCACCAGTGGATGACGTAGGAGCAGCTTCACTCCCGGAATCTAAACTACCTCATGTACGTGTATGCATGATAATTCTATTAATGTTGTTATTATTATTATTGATACACATTATTGGGCTAGTTCTAGCCTGCCCCTTATGAAGGAATGCAATTATTAATTTTGATTGTAATGCTGATCCTCATTTATTTTGTATATGTTAGTTTGTGGGTGAATGTCTCTGAAAAAAATGCTAACGTTTATATTCATTGAGCAATGAGAGTTTGACATTTACATGTAAATGGTACTGATGTTCACAAAATGAATAGATTCTCTAATGCAAGTATATTTCTCCCATCCCTACGTGTCACATGGTTTAGTGGTTTCTATTATGTATCCCGAATAAGAATGAGTAGTAGACCATTCATTATCAGTACTACAACACTTTATTAAATTTGGCGATAAATTTGATTTGATGGTTGAGATAATCATCTCCATGTTTATATTAATTGTTTGTGATATGTTGGCTATCTTCCTTCTCATATATGGCTAGACGCCAGAACCATAGACCTTGCATGACTCTGTGGTTACTAGCAGTACAATCAATTGATTATAGAGAATGTCAATATTTGATAGCCTTATGGTATATAATATTATATTTATGTATATGAATTGTTTACAGTCGTTGGTCATCTCACAAACTGTGACTAATTTGTGTCACATCTGGCATGAGCATGCAGACCAAGCTAGTCTCTAATTGGCTGTCATTGAATACCCAGGATCATTAATTATTGTTTTTTGTAGGGTTTCCCATGCAGTTTTGTTTTGTGTTGCTTTACAGTCATAAGTACCTTAAGCCTACTATTATTTGCGTCTAATAATTTTAGCGAAATCAGCAAAAGTCATGTTTAGCCTTACTAATTATAGCGTTTCTAACCAAATTAACTATAAATAATAACCGTTATAATGAATAATAATTATTTTGGCGTCTATTTAATTTAGCGGTTTAAAGCTCTCGCTAATATAGCTAAATTTAGTAGACGCTAAAAATAGTAGGCTTAAGGTAATATTATTATTAATTCATGTTTATTTATTTCAAAGGTAAAACGTTTTGAGGTTCTTGTGTCTCTTATGCTTTCCAGTCAGACTAAGGATGGTGTCACAGCTAAAGCAATGTCTAATCTCCAAGAGTACGGGCTCACCATTGAAGGATTGATAGACATCAAGCAAGACAAACTGGAACAGCTTATATTTCCAGTCGGATTCTACAGAGTAATAATAATAATAATAATAATAATAATAATAATAATAATAATAATAATAATGGCAACAATAGTGCTCCCACTTTTGTTATAATAATAATAATAGTTAATTATAATAACAATATTTATCATTAGCTTATTCATGTAGAGAAAAGCACAATATCTAAAGAAGACTGCTCAGATTTTAAAGGAAAAGCATAACGGTGATATACCGGAGTCTCTTGAAGGACTTGTGAGCAGGACTTAACATGTCACTAATGAATAGACTCGTATTTCATGTGTAGATGGCACTCCCTGGCGTTGGACCAAAGATGGCTCACCTATGTATGGACATAGCATGGGGAAATGTGACTGGAATTGGTGTAGATACACACGTACACAGAATTGCAAATCGTTTGAAGTGGGTCAAAAAACCAACCAAGACCCCGGAGGATACAAGAAAGGGACTGGAGGAGTGGCTGCCTCAGTTAGTGATGCATTTATTATGTGCAGTTATTATGTTAATGATATTGTAGGTCTGAATGGAGCTCTGCTAATTTGCTTCTGGTCGGTTTTGGTCAACAGATTTGTCTCCCACTACGCCCGAAATGCAGTGAATGTCTAAACAAGTCGATATGTCCTTCAAGTCTCTCTAAAAAATAATCATGTTAACTGCTCATCAGTAATAACCAATTATTGCTTAATACCAATTATGACACTAGCCATGCATTATTTCTACATAGATAAAAAGTAATCATTTGTAAAAAGTAATCATTATTACTCACGGTGATAAATGCTACGTATTTAGCAACTCCGCCCATAAACGTCGCTCATATAACATGGAGGTGCGTATTCCGTGTAAGGACATTTCACACTTCACCCACCATGATTGCTCTGATTTCTGCTGTGATTTTTTGTTTCTTGACTGCAGCTTCAGCCCAGGATTGCTCTCGCGAGGGTCAGTTCACTGATAGTGCTGGCTCCTACGTTTTCACCTGGTCAGTCCAGTCAAATTTTGATTATGTTGACTGCACTGTCCAAGTGAATACAGCAGCTAACAGATGGGTTGCAGTTGGATTTTCTGAGGATCGATTAATGGTAAATTATTATAAGAACCGGGGTAATTTTATGTGTTGAGTCAGTTGTGGACTTTCAAAAATTGCTTCAACTATAATTCTTTTCCTTTCTCATTATAGCCTGATACTGATGTCATTATTGGGGCTGATGATGGAACTAACCGGTTTGTACAAGACAGGTGAGGAGCATCCATTATAGGCTATGCTAAATGTTTATTATTATGATTATTATAGGTGGAATGGTCAAAGCCGGGTAGCTGGACCATCACTTGATCCTATGCAGAATATTATGGATACTTCAACAACAAGGAGTGGCGATAGGCTTACTATTAGTTTTACCAAACCACTTATCAGTCCTGATATTAGTGGTAGAGATGAAAATCTTACTGAATGCCGTAATGTTCTTTGGGCTTTTGGAGGTACAACCACCTTTGAGAATGGCAATGTAACTGCTCTTGGGGGCCATTCTAATAGAGGTGTCTTTCAAAATCAGCTTTGCCTGTGCACAAGTGAGTCAAAGTATAAGGTTATACAGGGTATATGTGTTGAATTCTGTTTGCAGGTGGAGCAAGCGTTGCAGCTGTTGTTTCTTTGGCCATGATGATTGTAGCAGTACTCTTGGCTGCTGGGGGTAGTATCTTTTAATTTTTCGTAATATTTTAAGCCTGCAGTTGCTTCATCACGACAATGCTGCATACACACGGAAACAATTAGTTTTTAGTTTAAGTTTTGTTTTAACAACTGTAGAATTTTCAAATAATAAATTAATAATAAAATTAATTTGAATTGTTTAACATGTTAGCCTTCAGTTGTACTATGTGGTACATGCACAATCATATGCGAGTTATGCATGCAATCATGTGTGAGTTGACAGCAAAAAATGGCTCCTACATTGCACTAGCACTATTATAGGCAGAAGCATATGCTGCAGTGAGAAGGGGTAGGGATCCAAATAATCTTGAAATAATTAATTATCGCATAAGTGGCTCACACGTAATTTTCCACGCCCACAATGCGTATATAAATGGCGCTGCAAAGAGATACGTTCACTCAGTCATCCAGCAACCATGCAAGGTCTATTAGTTTTAGCCTTTTTGACAGTTTTTTTCGTAGCAACCAATGCTTTGGTTAGCAACTGCACTTGTAAAGGGGAACTGTCTATGGGAACATATTCCGTGTCATGGATGATACGTGATAATAATCGTTCTCTTGTAGACTTCAATGTGTCTGTTAACACTGATGCGAACACTTGGGTTGCTGTTGGCTTTTCAGAAGACAGATTTATGGTATGCATAAAATTTTAACTATTGTTGATTTTTCTATACTACACAGCCAATCACTGATGTTGCTATTGGAGCTGACAATGGGACAGATAGTTTTGTTGAGGACAGGTTTGTAGAATACAAAAATTTCTTGGTTTATTTATGTATTCTAGATGGAATAATGGTACTCGTTCTGTTGGACCAATATATGATACAGAACAAAATTTTATTTACACATCAACTAGTAGATATAATGATATGCTCACAATCTCCTTTACACGACCTATTGATAGTCCTGATGATACACAAGACCTTGACTTGACTCAGTGCCGATATGTCCTTTGGGCATATGGAGGGAGTGTGAGCATGTTTCCTTCTATGATGAGTGATGAAGCTGCTTCTGGTTTGACACGACATACAATGCGTGGTGTCTTTTCTAAACAAATTTGCCTCTGCCCTGCAAGTCAGTCATGAGATATAGTTTTCTGTGCATGCAGCATGTTGACCCATTGATAATATATTTTCTAGCTTATAGTACACTGCATGCTTTGTGCATATAACTATAGGCTTACAATACATTTCATTTCATTATAGATGAGACATGTCCAACAGCAGCTCCACCAAGCACAGAAGCACCTACATCTAGTGCTTTCTCAGTTGCAAATTTTGCAATCATCACCTTTATTTTTATCTTAATTGCTGCAATTTTTTGAATTGCCTGACTAAATTGAAATTAACTTTAATACATAGCTAGCTGCTAGATATTTATGGATTTTGTTTCGTATTTTTGTTGATTTTTTTTCATTAAAATAATAGATTTCATCCGCATTTCAAACTAATACAATCTACAGTCTTAAATGCCTAGTATGGCACTTGTAGCCTTTTATGGCCCTTGCAGCCTTGTATGGCCCTTGTAGCCTTGTATGGCCCTGGCGCATGGCTCATCATGGTTTTGTAGCATCTATGGGCTCATGATTGATCGATTGAAGACACGTATAGTTAATAACTGAATCACGCATGCTCAGTCGTAAAATATAAGCACGTGTGAACTGTGAAAGGCTTCTTTTCAGACAAGATGGGTCACACAAATGTATGGAATAGTCATCCTAAGAAATATGGACAAGGATCAAGGCAGTGGTATGAATATAAAGAGGGGCAGATCTATTATAAATGTTGAATTTTTAATTTTGGGGTTAATTCTTTCGTTTGATAGTCAGTTTCTACTTGTGGGGAAGGGAGCCCTATATGCTTACTTAGCCTTACTATTTACTTATCCCAGTGAATATGCTGGTTTGTGTAGAGTTTTAAACTACCAATGCTGTAGCTTGTAATTTAACGAGTTTAAAGGTGGCCATAGTAGAATGTGTAATCTGCCTTTTGCCAAACTTTATTTGTTGTTTCTATCGTCTTGTTTGTAGCCGTCGTTGTAAGAATAGTCACGGCCTCATTCGTAAATATGGTCTGAATTTGTGTAGAAGATGTTTCAGGGAGCATGCTGAAGACATTGGGTTTATGAAGGTGAGTATACCATATTTGGTATTGGTAGTATGTGTGGTTGGCTTGCTGCCAGTGTGTCTGTTGACTCTGTTCCATTATGTGTGGCTGCATTGTGGGTTGTAGCTACTCCATTTGATAATTGATACGTTACTCCATTTGATAATTGATACGTTATTTTTTATGGTAGTAATTATAAGCTGTTGCTTTGACATATTATCCTCTTTCTACTCCCTTGCCACTTATTTGTGCCTGATCTTCATTGCAATGGCTTTCCATTTTTAAGGACATCGTGTTGTGTGTTATTATTGAAGCACGAGATGCTACTCCATGAACATCTCTTCTTTTTTCTTTACAGATGAGATAAAGATTACAAGTTTCAAATGGAAATAAGAAACAATTGACTAATAAGCTTTTGTTATAATTATTGATTTTACACAGTTAAGAATTAAGCAGTTAAGAATTAAACAGTTACAGTTAAGAATTACACAGTTTAAAAGAATTATTAGTGAAGTGTTTAATGGGTGCCAGGGTGTGGTAACTGATAAGGTGGGTGCTATACTTGGATGTCTGCCTTGCCAACTTTGAAGTACTACAATGGCTTTCCTCTTTCTCCTGCAGTGGATGCTAATTGGGTGGCTGAGCTTATTGAAGGTGGATTTCAGTTATACTCTGATGATGTGTTAATAGTTACATATCCAAAGTCTGGGACAACATGGACTCAACAAGTAGTGTCACTGATAAGAGGCTTACCCAGAGGACAGGAAGAAACCCATGTTACCAATAGTATCCCATGGCTAGAAAAATCAAAAGATGTGACACTGGTAAGCTACATAATTATTATTATCCTTTTTGTAAAGTTAAAGCAATCAATTATAATATATAGATCTATGTGTAGCTGTATGTTAGAATTTTAAAATGAATATTTTTAAATTCTAATACTTGAAATACTGTTGTTAATTGTTTACTATTATTAATGTTTACATAGAGTCTGCCATCTCCTCGTTCCTTTAAATGCCACTTGCCATATCACATGGTTGCTAGGGGAACTCCTGCTGATTCTGTTGCCAAATATATTTATGTTATTCGGAATCCTAAAGATGTGGCCGTGTCCTTCTATCATCACACGAAACGTTACAATGACTCCACGTACCATTTCACTGGTGACTGGAATGATTACTTCGAGCTTTTTCTAAAAGGAGAAGTTGACTTTGGGTCATGGTTTGATCATGTTTTAGGATGGTTAGCACACAAAGGTATGTCAATAATGCAGCAATAAAGTTTATTACATCTGTCATAATACACATAAAGGTACATAGGCGGTGGAACCAGGGGAGCTAAAGCCCCCTAGCTTTCACAAAAGGGGGGCTTAGCCCCCCCCCCCCCAGTTGATCAGTAATAAAACAATTATATCAGACTTATTAGCAATGGTAACTGGAGTAACTGAGCCTTTGAATGTAAAAACAGCCTTTTAGCTAGTAACTACAGGCTTAGTTCTGCTTCGGGTGTTGAGTCGATCACAGCACCATAACCACCATTTTCAATATGAAATATTGAAGGAAACACCCACTTTGCGATGCTAAAAGTGGGTGTGGTCAAAATCGTGGCACACTTCGTGCACCCTCAGCCCCCCTTCTCTGACATTCGTTCCACCGCCACTGCAAAGGTATGTCAATAACGCAGCACTTTTGAATTCCATAATACGTCTATCATAATATTTATATTATTTTAATTATTATTGACTATAGATGCTGAGAATATTTTATTTTTAAAGTATGAAGACATGAAGGCTGATCTTAGAGGAACTGTGAAGTCTATATCACAGTTCATGGGCTACAGTCTCGATGAGTCAGTCATTGATAGAATAACTGAACAGAGCACATTCGAGAACATGAGATCTGACCCTTCAGCAAACCCTGACTCTCTCTCATCAATAAAGGCTAAGATCACAAAAAACTCTACTCCATTCCTACGTAAAGGGATCGTTGGTGATTGGAAGAACCACTTCAGTGATGAGCAATCAGCAAGACTTGATGCAGAGTATGCTAAAAGAATGGCAGGCAGTGGACTAGAATTAAGATACGAATGAAATTTTTTTAAGGATTGTGAAAATAATAAATTTATTTTAAATAATTGTTTTTTAACTGGAGGTATTACTGGATACTCCTAACTTGATAGTATCAGTAGGACCATATTGAGCATACTCTGTCCATGAGCCCTAAAAGAGACAGTATTAAATGCTAATAGTAGCATCTGTTCTTACATCATAGACTGGTATTTCTTTACCCAATAGATAAGCAGCAAATGCTATCCAGCAGGCAGTTATTCCACTGCCACAGGTAGCAATGATTGGCTTATTAATATCAACACCAGCTTTAAGAAACTCTATTAACACAGTATGTACATAATAACATGTAAAACAGAGCTGCATATACTGTACCTTGTTCAATAGTATTTTTACTGGCGAATGTTTTACTATTCTTATCAAAGAGGTTATAAAAAGGTAAATTGATGGAGCCTATCATGTGACCACTGCAGAGTCCGGGGCGGGGCTCGGGTGCAACACCATCAAATCTTTCATTGCTCCTAGCATCCACAACCTATACAGATAATATTAATAAAGTATGACACTAAAGCCAAGCATATACTTGGCAACATGTTGCTTACAAGATCAAAATAACCACAAATGTTGCCAGCAACATGTTGCCAGTGTATGCCTGGCTCAAAAAACAATGCTATACCGGTATACTGTAATTCTTCATGATAAATAATTACCTGTATGTCTCCATCTCTGATTGCTTTCTCCACATCCTTCATGCTCCTAATGATGTGAGATTGTATCTTGGCATGATATGACAGCTTCTTTGTGTCTGGGACTGTGCTTTCCTCTACTGGTAAACCATCAGACAACCATCTTGGCAATCCACCATCAAGGATAGATACATTCTTATGCCCAAATGCCTATAAGATATAAATTAGTAAATTGGATGTACAAGCATTGGGAGGCTTACTTTAAACATCCACCACAGCCTTGCAGCTGAAAACATTCCAAATGTTTCATTGTTATCATAAATGATCACATGACTATCGTTTGATATGCCTAACTGTATATCAGAGATGCATAATATATCAAGTTCTATGAGGAAAGGTTTGTGCATGATGGCATGTACAAGTAGAGCACATGCAAAGCATGCACTCTCATAGAGTGTAGCTTTTGAGCCAATAACTTCATTGTACATTATAATTATTAGAGCAACCATAATTTTTTCTCAAAAATCAAATTTTAACTGGAATCAGTTCAAATTTCATCACAACATAAAGACATGTATAATATGTATTAGAAAAAATTAATGGAGAATTTTCTCTCTTTGATTCTTGACAAAATTTGGCTAAATAAAATACAGGGACTTTGGCCCAATTTTGGAGCAGCTTTAAAAATTCATAAAAAATCCAATTTTGATCGGAGTCAGCTCAAACTTTCTATGCAACTTAAGTACATGTATATGCATCAGAAGAAATTATAGAAATGACAAATTTTCTCCTTTTCATTTTTGATGAAATTCAGCTAAAGCTCCTGTACTATAGTACAGGGACATTGGCCTGATTTTGGAGCAACTTAAAAAATTCATAAAAAATCCAATTTTAATTAAAATCAGCTCAAACTTACTACATACCGTATAGCTGGTTTATTTCGTGTGGAATTAATTTTCGTGCAGGCTCAAATCCACTAAAATTAATTCCACTAAATTTTATTATAACCAATTAAATATTAACAAAAATTTAGCAAGGCACTAAAATTAATTCTAATGAAAATTTAAGCAGCAAAAATTTGAGGCCACGAAATAAACCAGCTATACGGTAACTTAAGTACATGTATATGCACTAGAAAAAATTATAAAACTGAAAAATTCTTTTCTTTTCATTTTTAGCAAAATTCACTGTACTAGGACTTGTGTTTTGTTGAAAACCATGGCCAACTTTGCATACCTTTCCAACATGATGACTGAACTGGTTTGCTGATGGAAGCATATGAGGTAATTCATTATTCTGATCTGACAATTCATCAATGTCAATGAACACAGCCTCTCCTATCCTTCTCTCCTTATACTCTTCCAATGCGCTCCGTCCTCCTAATGATCCTAGTGCATAATAAAGGGATGGTTTGGTTGAACATTTAATTTTGTGATTGGGAGATTATTAAGAAAACCTCAGTATAAAAGACACAGTAATGAAACTGCCAAATTAGGCAGCTTGATTATTTGCCTACAAAAGCTCTTTATTATGTTAACAATAAAGAAGTCTAAAACAATAATTAATTTTTATTGGGGGTGTGGACTAATCATGTCAAAAACTTAATGGCTGAATCAATTTGCTGATCATTCCTGGATATACATGTAATAGAAGCATTAGATTGATCTGCCAGCATCGAGGCCACCATGGATAATCATTGATATTATATATAATAGGGTCAGGCCCGCCTGACTAGTATAATTACATATATATAATGTGAATTGATCACGGTACTTTTGAGTCGGACGATACAGACTAATAGTAATTCTCTCTTTCTAACTGATTACATGATAATGGACTCACCATCAACTATTCTCAGACTGGCTTTTATTCCATTGAGGAGACGCTCTCGTAGCCAAACCGTCGACACGAGTGGAGATACCGCCATGTTATAAGTAGGCGGTGGCTTATTATTATCTAGACGCCATGTTTTGTGGGTGTGGTCACTTTGTTACCTTGACAACCACTTATAATAAATAATAAGGGAAGCTCAGGCCCAGCTGAAACTTTGTAAAAAAAGAGAGAAAAAGATGAGTACTGGTGGAAAAGGGAAAGCAAAAGGAGGAGGGAAAGGCCAGAAAGACAAGCAGCAGCAATTGCAGGATAAATCAAAGGTTGGTACAGTTGTACTTGTACAGTGTATAACACATGTAAAAATGATAATGATAATTTTCTCATTATATGTAGCCTGCTCTTCAGAATCCTAGTGTCCGTCGTATTTCACAGAGTTATATTGGTAGCCGTACACAATTGGACTCGAAGGGACGCCTTCATGCTCCATCAAGAGGACCCAGGAGAAGAGTAAGATAGAGAGGGAGAGAGTCTATACCAATCTATATATATGTACTATTGTGTGTTACTGTGTTGTGTAGGATGATGATATTAGAGAAGGTGATGAAGGTCATGATGAATGGATGACTGCTCCACAGCTAGTCAAGCCTGACGATCAACTTGAGCTGAGTGAACAGGTACTGGTGAATCTTTCATGTACAAAATAATATTAAAATTTTTATCAGTATTGAGAAATAAGCATTTTCTAGTCAAATTCATGGTTATTTTGCTGTAGGAGTTGAAGGAGGAGTTTACTCGTGTATTAACAGCTAATAATCCACATGCTCCATCAAACATCATCAGGTTTAGTCACAAGGAGCAATCCTTTAAACCTATTGTATCCATTGATCAAATGGCCATCCATTTCACACTGGACAGGTACTGATAATTCATACTATAATGTATATCAATGATAATGATTTAGAGATTTGTAGTTATAATGTTTTATTAATTTTAGTCTTATTATTATAATGGATACTTCCCCCCTCTCTCTCTTTCTCTCTCAGTAACCTCCTTCATAAAGATTCTGATGAAGCACAGAGACAGCTCTCCAAACAAGAAGGTGGTGATGGTAAGTGATGAGAGTCTAATAATGATCACTTACTTTAATATTTCAGA